ATCAATAACCTCCTTCCTATTGCAAACCACAAAGGTAGGTTCGTTACCATGGTTTAGAATATTCAGGTTCGAACTCACCAGAAATTCCATAAGGCTCTCTCCCCTTGGGTTAGTGCCAGTGCTCCCCCACAAGATGTGGTGCGCGTTGGCATCACACCCAATGATGAGTTGCTTTTTCCTGCTAAAGCAGTAGTCTGTGATGTCCCTCATTTCCTTAATTGGTGGTGCTCCATCCGGGTCATATGGAAGGTAGACTGAAGCAACTATCAGCTCCCTGCTGCGTTCTCGATATGGATATGTTATCCTTACCGCCGCTGTATCCCTTGAACAGAGCTCCAGCAAAGGCAATGCATTAACATGATTCCTGATATAAACACAAGATCTTGCATTATTACTGGGTACAACAGAGTAAACTGTTCCCCCTGTATTATTTAAGCCCCTTATTCGACCCTTGTATAACCAAGGTTCCTGAATAAGTGCTATGTCAGCCTTACCCTCAGCTAGATGTTGACACAGAGCTGCCATGGCAGCTTTGCTGTGGTGTAGGTTGATTTGGAGAAATCTCATGATCTCTTCCAATTTTTTGGTTTTGCCTCTGGTAGGTTTTGAATCATTGGTTCATCCCTGCATTTGGCTGAAATTACAACAGTAGGTTTGCCGGTTGCTTCTGAGCCCCTTAAAGGTTCACCAGAGCTTCCAGCTCCCTGCTGAAGCATTTCTCGTAGGGATCCCCTTGAAGGGGGGTCCCTCTTCAGTTTAAGGTCCTTGCGACCGGTTTTTGTTTTGGTTCCCTTTTTCATTTCGGTCCCATGAGTAATGGGGTTTTAAGAGGTCACCACCTGCAGAGCCCCGTATGGGTGGAAGGCAAATACAATGGGATGCTGCCTTGTGCACCGATGGGATTGTTCACGACACTGGCCAATAACCACCCCAGTGCCATGCAGCCCTCGGCACGATGCCTCCCACCTTGGCTTAGGAGGTTGGTCCTTTACAAGTATAACCCTCACAAGCCTCCAGGACCAAGAGTGCATGTTTGGGGGGAGGGGTGTATCCCAGATGATAAATGGGAGTGCGATACTAATTGTCATGAGTTTGCGACCAGGGCATCCTACACGAGATTATTGCCCCTGGAGGTTGCTTCAGAGCTCCCCTATTCCCACCCCTCCACATGGGTTGGTCAAAACCATTTTAGAGTGTTGAGCCCTAAGGCTTGCGGCACCTTATCGGTACTCTAGGGAGACAACTCAAATAGCCGTAGCTACCCCCATAGGAGTGCTCTCCCGCATTCGTTCCGGGTACATCGTAATGAAACCCAAGAGTCATTATGCTGCCGCGTGGGAGGCTCTGGTCAAATGACCATTGCTCTTTATGGAAACTTGGCCGCAACCCCGGAGGTTCATGCTAATGCAGACCCTCGAGGACTGTCATTGCCCAGCAGGACCACGAGGAGGTGTTTCAAAGCTGTGTCTCAACGCATCCCTGGTCTGTGATACGTCCCCACCAAAGACACAGTCACCCTGCCAATTATGGGTGTTAATTTTGTCTCATTTATGGTTTATTTAACAGTACCGTCAGTTTTTCAGACTACATAGTGTGAGCTGCTAGGAGATGATGATTAATGAAAATGAATTGGCAGAGGTGAAAGGAAATTGTCATGTTATAATTTGAAGCACTGTGCTAGAATTTGTCTGGGAGATTGAGAAAAACCATGAGAAACCTCAGGCAGGATTGTTGGGAAGAATTCTGAGTACGTTCTTATGTGTCTTATTTCTTGATTTCCAGTTGTGAGTGTCATGAATGCCAAATTCAGGCAATGTCTCAGTGACTGCAAGCAGTTGAACACTCCAGGGTTACTTCAGAAGGCTGGTGTGGATCCAGGAAGTACAAACATCACGGCTGATAGGATCCTGTACAACCACGCGATCCAAATGGTAAGAAACATTTAAGCTTGTAGCTCCAAAAATGAATATATGTGGAAAAGTTTGATGATTTCAGAATGCAAATGCGTATCATTATGTAAGCTGATGGTAAGCCAGTTTGTGAATTGTCCTGGATGTGTGATGTTGAAAATAAGTTGTAAAGTGTGGGCTAAAGCCTTCAAATTTGGAGTGTCCTTGAATGCCTTACATGACATACAAAATCTTTTTGTATTGTATTATCATTTTCACTGTGTTGGGTTGCTAGGCAGCCATAACCAATTTCTTATAATAGATAAGTGATATGCTGCAGTTATTTCATTGCTCAGCAACCATTTAATTCATAAAATGATCACCATATGATGCCATGATAGGGAACAATGGAAAAATTGTAATAGGAATTCATAAAGCTGAATAAGCAGGTGCATTATTTGGTGCAGTTGTTTCTAAGAAATCCCTGTCAGTGTGTGGCTCTTGTGAGTGCAGTTAATAACATTTGGGCTTCATAAGAGGTAGAGAATTTCTTGACTAGTTGGGCAACTACAAGCTCGTCATGAAGAATCCTGATCCTTTGAGTTGTACTGAGGCCACAGATGGAATTCACATGGAAGGTGGAAATGGCTGTGCTTGAGACTTCCCCTCCAGCCCCCTCTAGCCTAAGCCAACCAGCCCAAAATGCTGCTTACAAGGGAATGTTATCACTGTCAACATTCCTGTGAACACAGTGGCTGGATGACTGGAGGGGGAAGTGTAACAGCTCAAGGGAAATGTGGAGGGGGAGGTGGATTTGTGGGCCTTCTTTCCTTGTTCTCAGTATAGTGCAGCTCTCTGTGCATTCTGAAATGTCTTTTCTGTATGTTCAAGTGTCAGACGGCAGCTTTGGATGAGCTGTTTGGGAATCCAGAGGAATGTTTTCAGCGCTACCAGACTGCACAGATATTGCTGCACAGTCTGTCGCAGCAAGTGAACCATCAGCAGGACCGAGCACTACTCACAAAGTGTAAGCACTGTAAGGGATGAAGGTCTGTTTCATCAGACTTCATTGCACCTTAAAAATATTATCACGTGTAGGGGGGTACGTGTGACGAAATGGTGGCTCCTTGTTCGGATGATTGGATTTATTGACATTTTGGTTACAACCTCTTGTAAATACACTCAAATTACAGTGCTATTGCTGATATACACACTACATAATCCACTGTTATGTGCACATACTCTAGTCCTCTCCTGGTAATGTAATTAAAACACAGGAACTAGCACTTCACATCACTCCAGATATCTCTGCACCACAGAACACACAAAGTCTTCCTAAATCACACTTGACATTCTCACAGGGTGACCTCCTGTATTCTTCTGTATTCCATACATGTGCTTCTCTCATAACTCATAACTCATAACTAACTCTGACTGACTTATTAGGAATTTCAGTTTCTCATATAAAATCTTAACAGTGTGCATCCTCTTGTGTGTTATGAATAAGATATATAAAAGTATACACTCAAGTGCCAAAAGTCATGGGATAGCAGTATGTAAATTTATTTTTAAGTGGTGCCACTGTCCCTTGACGGCTTGGGAATGCCCAGAGCAGTATCATTTGTGAGGTGTTCTCTCGTGAGTCAGGTTGAACACCAGCCAGTCTGCTCGTGACAAGCCAACGTGAATTATCGGAGTTTGAATTGGGCATTCCATTTCCGAAGTTGTGCGGTCATTCAACATTCCTCGACCGACGGTGTCACGTGTGTACTGGGAATACCTTGTGGAAGGCATTGCCACTCACCATGGACAGTGCATTGGCCAACCATGGGTGCTTAACACTTCGCGGACCTGCGATTTAAATATTTAAATCACCCTGGGGACTGGCATTTTTAAACCTACTACCCTAACTTGTGCACTGTTCACTTTAAAAATTAATATAAAATCTCCTAATTAATTTTATGAACTATAATTTTTGGACAACACTTACCAGTGCTCCTAGAAGTGCTTGAGAGTGTGATATTTCTGGAAACATTCCCCTTTGTGAAGTGGCATTACGCAGAACTTGCACATGTAGACAGTCATATTCCTTTTGTTGTGTACTGTGCAAACACGGCATCGCCTAGAAGGCTGCTTCCCCTTGGCATGTTCACTCTTCACAATTTTCATGAGGATATGTTTCCGCATATCACCTGAGAGTCGCCCAGGGGGCTTCACATGAGGCCTGCGTGGGGTGGGAGTTGATGGACCTGGTCGCACTAAGCCTGTGTCTGCCGCTGGTTCTGCCGCCACCATCTGGTCTGTAGCCCAGGCTTTTGCCACATTCAGCAGAAATGCCTTGTATTTCAATTCTGAATGAGGGTTTAGATTTTTGAAAACAGAAATGAATTGAAAATGGCACAATTTATAAGCCACAAGGCAATTTTCTTTGTCCACTTTACTGTTTTTCGAGAAAGAGAATAATAGGCCAAGTACTGATCAGCTCTATCAACTCCCTTAATGAACATATTATACTTGGAAATACAAACAGGCTTCTTTACCTCTCCATGTCTCCTTTGAACATCAACCATGCTCAAATTGTGAACTGTGAATTTGGGTCTGATGGAATTTGCTTCACCCCTGGATTTCCAGTAAACTGTCCCAAAGCAGGCATTTTGTCTAATTTTCCCCATGTGGCTGTCCCCGCAATGTTGCTACCCACACTTTCGTCGGAGCTACTGTCACTTTCACTTTCACTGTCTGTGGCCACAGTTTTTTGTTCGTCCCTGCCACACACTATCAGATTGTGAGTCGCTATCACTAGCAGACTGACAAGGGATGTCAGATAGCTCATCGGAGAACAAGTCAGATATTACTTGTTCTCTGAGAAAACGCTTGGACCTCAACCTCTTCCGACCTTGATCCGTTTTGCACTAGTCACTTCCTGCCTGGTGCATGCAGCTGGAAGAAGAACAAAGGCATTTTCTTTTGGAGTCGGAAAGGAAAACAGTTGGGTCATAAACAGCGGTGTCATGTTACTGACTAGGAAGCAAACATTCAAGAGGTCTCTCGCACCAGTCATGTGTCTGCCTGGCGCCAGTGCAAGGTATAGTGTGTTTCAACATAACGTGTCCTAAAATCATAATAATATGCCATCGGTCTGCCACGTTTAAAAGCATTGGGCATAAAAATATGCCACTGGTCCGCAAAGTGTTAATGATCGTGACCAGCGGCGTCTAGCTAGAATTGTCCGTGGTAACAGACAAGTGACACTGGCTGAAATCACATCCACATTCAATGCAGGAGGTACTAGACGCATATCCAGTAGGTCAGTGCAGCGTTCTTTAGCTTCCATGGGATATGGGAGCAGAAGACCGACCAGAGTGCCTCTGTTAACACCACGACACCGGACACAGAGCCTCACCTGGGCTTGTGACGTCTCTAATAGGACCCTGGAGTTGTTTCAGGCAGATGGTAGGGTTCAGGTTTGGCGCAGACCCCATGAGGCCATGGACCCCAGTTGTCAACAAGGCACCATGCAGGCTGGTGGTGGTTCCATACTGGTGTGGGATGTGTTCACATGGCATGAGTTGGGTCTGCTCGTTCACCTAAACACGTCTTGATCGGTGACCGCTACGTTACACCGCTTGGTGACCATTTGCAGCCCCTCATGGACTTCATGTACCCTCACAACGATGGGATATTCCAGCAGGACAATGCACCATATCAGCGGACCGGAGTTGTCCAGAATTGGTTCGAGGAGCATTCTGGAGAGTTCTGATGAATGGTGTGGCTACCATATTCGCCCGACATGAACCCAATTGAGCATTTATGGGACGTGGTGGAGAGGTCCAAAATCCTGCACCTACAAATAGCAGGGAGCTGTAGGCAGCTATCCAGACGGCATGGCTCAACATCTCTCCAGAGGTCTTCTGTCCACTTGTGGAATCGATGCCACATTGCTGCACTTTGCTGGGCTAGAGGGGGTTCTACACGATACTAGGTACCTATGCCATGACTTTTGGCACTTCAGTGTATAAGGTATGCAGTCTACACAACAATATTCTGTATTTAAGAGCAAAGAAGGCAATACTGTATCAACATTTGCTTTTATTTTGTTTTTACAGACACAACATGTTTTGACTTTTACACCGGGTCATCATCAGGTGTATGACATATTGACGATGTATTGATTGTATACAGTGAGCTACACTCGAATGTTGAAAATGCCCCAAAAAAGTTTAATAATGTACATCCTAAAATAAAATTTACAATGGAAAAGGAAACACAAAGCAGAATCAATTACCTTGATATGTCAGTTAGGAAGGAACACAACAAATTGACATTCAACATATATCGTAAGCCCACCACCACGGATTCCATTATACATAATTATTCGTGCCACCCCAACGAACACAAAAGATCAGCAGTAAGCTCTCTATTAAACCGTATGAACACATATCCCCTCACCCAAGAAAACAAAGATTGAGAACCGACAATTATAAACGAGATACTAAAGAATAACGGGTACCAACAACTACCCGCAAATTTCCAGCACCAAAATAAAGTTGCCGTAAATTCTACACAAACACTGCTAAACACACAAAAAGAAAGACAGAAAAAGAAATGGGCCTGTTTCACGTATTTTGAACAAGAAACTAGAGCCATCACTGACCTATTTTGAAATACAAACCTTAAAATTGCTTAGAAGGCAACTAATACCATCAAACACCATTTGAAACTTAAAGGAATACCAGGAGATATATGCAACTAGAGTGCTATATACCAGCTACAGTGTGCTGAATGTTCACTCAAATATATTGGACAAATGGGACATACATTCAGAACTTGCTAAGGGGAGCACATAATTGCTATCAATACTAATAAACAACACTCTAAATTTGCACTACACATTTTGGAAACGGGACGTAAATTTAACACGATGGACCAGACCATGAAAGTATTACATACAGAAAGGAAGGGACCCAAACTCAAGACTTCGGAAAGATTTTATATATATAGGACCTGACGAAGAAGGGTCTGCAGATGAACGATATGTTCACAGATATATATACTTCCATATTTGATATTCTAGTAAAAGCACACATACCAAATCACCCGACCACTTCCCTTTCTCTCCAACTACTCACAGTATCCTTCCCCCTACCTCATACCACTCAACTCTTCATAAACATGCCCACATATGCAGATACCCCACAAACAAGTAGTCTAGACCAAACCGCTACAACATAGCGACAGCACCAACGCAGGGAGCAGCCTGTACATATACCATTCATAAGAATAACCTAACATACGTAAGTACATATACCAAATAACCTAACAGCGAATTTAATAACATCACAATCACAAGCTTCGCCTTATAATAATGATAATTAAACTGTTACAGATCACATACTGAATAATGAGCATGAGCTCTGTAAGACATTACTAAGGTTGTGACTATAGCGGCCTCCATAGTCTAGAGGTAACGTTCCCACCTCATGACTCGTAGTACGTGGGTTCAAATACCCGGCGGAGGTCGTCAAATTTTTAAGGGCGGAAAAATTCAGGGAACAAGTCCTCCTGGAGGGACTTTAAGCCGTGGGTCCCGTGTCGTAGCTTTACGGCACGTAAAAGAACCTCATATCTCCAAAGGAGGTCACTGAGCCAAATTAACGGAGGTTTTCCACCCAGCAGAAGTCTCTAATACCTCTGGTAGATGGGGGAAGCATTATAGATACCTCTCAGCTAGTAGAGCCGGTCTCGCTGGCTGGGCGGGACTGATAGTAAGCACCAGTACCGGTAGGATATAGAGACTGGTAGAAATCATAGAGGGAAGCACAATGGACCAATACAGGTCTCAGTGCATGGGGAAACCCGCCCTCTTCAATAACTAACTAACTGAGGTTGTGACTAGATGACCTATCCCATGTGAGAAGATTCGGATATGTGGGCACCCCGCTCTGTAGTCACTTCTACTGTAAAAAACTAGGTCAACACATAGCGGTTGCAGAGTTTTACCACAAAAACAATATTGATTTCATGTCTTAATCTTTATAGTCTTACTCTCTCTCTCTCTCACTCACACATCCCTGCTTCCTGCATCCATTTATGTAGTCCTCACTGATGTTTCTCTCTCTCTCTCTCTCTCTGATGAGTACTATGGTCAAGTGGTTAGCACTTCTTTGTAGTATTTTGAGGGTTCTGTGGTTCAAACCTCAGCCCATAGATAGCAACCATGACTGAAGTTTCTTATGGTTTTCAACAGTCAGTTCAGGCAAATTCATGGACAGTGCCTTAAAAGGGGCCAACATGGCTTCATTTTATATCCTTTCCAATCTACAGGGTAATTCAAAATTATTGTTGGGGTTTCTGTCAATAGGCCATGAAAACCCTGACAGTAATTCAGAATCAGCCTGTATTATTCATTAATCCCATAGTTCAATATTCTGTAGTGTAAACTGCTGTGCATCATTTAATTAATCTCACATTCACTGTGTTTAACTGTTTCTAGACAAAGATGCTGTTGAGAAAAGGCTGTATGTACTCCAGCAGCAGGGCTATATCTACTCCACCTGACCTGATACCTGGTGGACATATGTCATTACTACTAATATTAATACTACTACCATTGCTGCAAGGGTGTCTACTTGATGATCCAAAACCTGCCAGACTGCTTGTGCTGGGCAACTGAACATGACAGATGTCTTAGCTTGCTGCTTGTTTCCCTTGTAGAAAATGGTTATCAAGGACTTGCTATAGGTGGCATTTATCTTATGATCATATCCAATCAGATGGTACATGTACATTTGGGTGTCCATACTAATGAGGAAGTGCAAAGTCTTTAGTAATGTTGTTTTGGCAAAACTGTATTCGTAACTCCCGCAGTTAACTATAACATGTCAAGTTCGATGTGATCGGTAGTGCCATGAGAAAGAATCTTTCAAGTCAGGTTTTGTTTCATGTCAGCAGAAGTCAAAGTGAAGTCTTCTGTGAGATTTCAGATTCTCATAGCAGTAACGGAAGGTACCATCTTCTGGGATATGACACCCTGTAATCTGGTAGATCAGTGTGAATGCTTTGGAGGAACTTGCTGGCTCCATCATCAGGGTGTAAGATTAGGCAGTGATGGGACTGGGGTCTGGATCACATATAGTATTTGTATAATCATTTCCTTGCTTCACTTACTCTTCTGCCTGAAGATGGAGGCACTAGTTTACTCTGAAACATTGGTGTTGATTTACTAGGCTTCAGTGATATCTCATCCCACAGGATATTAATTTCAATAGTCATAATTTTTGTTGAAGTGGGTATGTTTATTTGTAGAGTGAAGACAGGAATGATCAGCAAGAGCTGATCCAAAAGAAGCCTGTTAAATATATTTATCAAGGTATATGTTTTGTTGCTGGTAATCACTTTCCTCTCCATACTGAGCTTTCAGATTTATTATTGAGAACACTTGTCCTTACTTAGTGATTGTATCTACAACAGTATCTTGTCTCAGTGAAGATATTTGTGAGATATTATTTAAAAAGAGAATTGTCTTTTATTGTACTTTGCAGTGTCTTCCAACTGGATTTGAAATTTATGTAGTAGAACCTCATTGGTCTGAAGATGAAAGGGTAAAATCTTGAACTTAAAAAAATTATGTTTTAACCTTTATTGCCTGGGATTAGGGGGCGTAAATCCCCATGTATTACAGGGCTGGCAGTCTGGTTTTAACGTGGGGGGGACTTAATGCTGGAAAAGTACAACACTTGGCAGGTTGGGCTTGACTTATGCAGACACACTTGAACTTAAGGAGTATATGCACCATATGAATCGAAGTCCACATAAAATGTAAAATACGACAGATTTCTGTAGCGTGTGTAGAGTTCAGTATTGATCATACAATGCGTATCCTCTAAGTATGATGTCCTGGGTTTAATGTCCGCTTAACTCTTATCAACTAGCACTGCAATGGTGCTGACATATGGATTTAAACTTCCCTCTAATGGGATTTACATTGTAAGAAGTATGACACTAGGTCTGCTGGGCCCTACTGAATGGGCTTTTGTGCATGCACACTTGTGCAGTGCATGGACAGTGAAGGTTAAACTATTCCTGAAATTAATTTTGTGATACTTTTCAGCTTAGAAAGCTATACAGATGTCCCACAATTTCATCTTTATGCATATTTTTAATTCATGCAATTTCATATGGTTTTTTAAATTGAATTTGTTTTATGTAATGATTAAAGAATGAATTTTGTCAACAAGTTCTGGGAAGAACTAGTAACATATTTTCCTTAATGTGACACAGATCATGTAGAAAGCAACATGTCCAACAATTCTATTGTAGTACATGTATATGTTGCTGTGGGAATGTGTTTGCCGAGACGTTGCCTAGCAAGTGAGCCACAGACTGACAATAGAGGAACTGTTGGAGACAATGTTTTCTCTGTGGTCTGACCCCCAGGAATATGTAGAGTACAGTCTATGAGTTGGAAGACCTAATTACCAAGCTGTTGCCTAGAAATGGCCGTTTTGGTGGTGCTTCTTTGACTTCACCATTCTGGCTTTCACGTATCTTGTCACATGCATGTTTTTATATACTATATCAGACATTTCTTCTGGATCCACTCTTCTGGTCATCAGGATGGGGGGGGGGAATGACAGACAGACAACAAGGTGATCTCATAAGCAACTAAAGTGAATGGCATTTATATTAATTGAATTGCATATTTTCCAGTGAAAGTTAAAGGCAGCAAAGCCAAACAGGTAACAAAATTAGTGTCAAATTCTGAGTTACATGACCAGTCTTAAGTAAGTCAGTGGTTGCCCCTATGATTTATTAATTTTTTGTGCCCTTGGGTATATGAACACTTCATATTATAAATACACTAGAAATGTGTTCTGGAAAAAAAAATGACATGTTGAGCAGTGGTCAGGTTTATAGATGTGTGACCATCGCACAAAATGAATTGACAGAGAATTGATTATATCTCTATGTATTTATTGTTCTACTGCATGTTTTACTAGCAGTGAACACTCAATGATACACAAATTGCAAGGTCCACAACAATTCTACAATACATTATATCACTTAATATATTGTGGGGCAGCTGTTATCCTTACAGTTTGTATATTTGCTGTTCATGTGATGATGGTTTGATAGTACTGAAACATGTGGTGGAATAATAAAAGCACCATTCAGATATAAACATTTTTTTGTCTTGTGTGATGCTTATGTATCTGTAAAGTGTTTTGAATGTATCCAAACAGGATGCACCTCATGAAAAAAAGAGCTAATGAGGTTTTACAACGTGTTATCTTGTGTTTTCAGCCAGTGCCTTTATTAATATGCTCATTTTTGACAGCAGTAGATCTGAATGTTCTTGTCAAATTTATGTTCCAGTGGATATTTGTGTAGTTGCTCTAGAAACTTCTGTCTTATGAAATTAATGGAGTTTCTTGACTTGACAGTGTTTTGTGCTGGGTGCATGCCAGTGAGATGGTGTGGTCACTGTAAAGTGGGACGCTAATTGTGAGTGGTAAGAGTAGTTAGACATAATTAATGTATGCGGCAATGGTAATTGAAATTCTTGAGTAGCTGCCCAATTGGCAGCTTCTCAAGAAGGGCTCAGCTCCAGGAATGAGTGAGTGATGGTAAATGCAAGCATCACAAAATCATAGGAAGAAAGGAATATGAGTTTTGGGATCTGAACAGAAGCAGCAAAGATCCCTGATGATGGAGACCAAGATAGTCTGCCAAACACTGGATACTGATTCCATCGTCACATAGCTGAGTACCCAAGAAGACTTCATTGCAACAGAACAGAATTGGAAACCTGAACTAGAGTGTATGAGGATGATTCATAATTGACCTAGCATCTTTAGACCTCATCTTATATGCGCTTTCTGAGTGTGAATGTGCTTGTGAGTGGTTGTGTCTGCATTGAAGTTGCACAGAATATGTTTCTCAGCGTTGTGAATGACCCAAATATTGACTGTCGCTTGTGGTCAGTACTGTATTATGACTGTCCTTGACTGCAGCAGTGCATCGTTCCCAAACTGTGCTCTTATGTCTTCATTGAACATCACCTGCTTTTTAGTTTTATTTTACCAGACATCTGATTACTCATTGCTGCTCCATGTTCTTAGCTTCTACAGATGCCATCTTACTGTGTGACAACCTGCATACAGTGAAGTACAGTTACTGTGTGGAGGAGGGCTGTATGAAATGCCCATGGAAGAATGACTCCAATCTGCAGTGTTGGTTACGAGAAACAGTAACAGCTCTGGGTGACGTCTTAACCACTTATGTGAAATGTGTCATGTATATAGTTGCAGTCTGTTTCCAAACTATTTCTAATGTAAATTTTCAGTTCCGACGTCTGGTTGTGCTGCACTAGTTCGGTTGCTGATTTGTGTGTTGTGTTGTGTTATGAGAATTTCAAATTCATATCATTTGTGTCAACATAAAAGTTGGAGGATTCATGATCTCGTAATGTGTGGGACCTTGTGACAAGGCCAGTCATCTTGCAAGTAACAGAATCAGTAAAGTTTGGACCTGATCTCTGAACTATCTTAATGTGGTAGTAAATGGCATCTGATGGTGCGACATTCAATAGTTCCTAATTTCACCAGATTCCCTCTCTCTCTTTAAAGTGAAATAAATGATACTATATTTCAGTTTTCATATGGTTAAGTTATCTTGTACTGTGCACCAACATTTGTCCTTAGTAATGTTAATTCTAAAAGTTGTGTTGGATTTTTGTAGCCTACAAATAGAATGGTGGTACTGACATCTAAGTAACAGCAATATTGTATTCAGAATTTATTTTCTAATTTGTTGACATCTGGCATTCAGTGTCTGCAGCAGAATACAGGAAGGCCCATGAATATCACATCTGGCTGACAAGTTGGGTGATGAGATGAAAGTGGGCAGTACCATGCTCTCTGACGAGCGTTCATCTCTCCTGCATTCTGCCTTCTACTTTTGCCATGTGGATTTGGCAAAGTTGTGTGGGATGGCAGATGGGACATGTGACATTGCATAGCCAGGAAATTCTATGGGTCCCCCTGCAGATGTGTATCATTAAGTTTGTATTAGTTTTATGTTATGTTAACTGATGACTTGAGTGGACCAGTGGCAAGAATCATATTAGTGAAGAAAATGAACATCTGTGAAATTATGACTTCAAATTACAGGAGGAGGCAGCACATAAATAAAAATGAACTGTGTCCTCTGATTTGTGTGAAAGTTTTATAATGTGTACACGTGTTCCTGTGCACTGATTTTAGATTATACCTTTTGTCAGTTTCTCCTTCTGCAAATGTAAAATGTATTTATTACTAATGATACACATACAGGCATTTCACCTTTTTGTAGTAACCCCCATTAATTATTATTTTTTACTGTTAGGGCACAAAAATGTTATTAAATTTTTTGTTATGCATTAATCATCCAGTTATTTCACATTATATGAATCTGAGATACTGACTGAATCAGTGAATTAACCATAAATAAAAAAATGTTAAATTTTAACAGATTTTTCTGCAGTATTCTTTCATTGGAGCCATTCAAATTGATAACTAAATTTATTGCATGGAACTTGTAAGATCATTTGTGTATATCAATTTAAGTGGACTTAGTATTGCAGTTTGTAATGCTGGGGTATTGCTGTACCGTGTACTGAGCATTCGTCTCCATATTTTTTGAGAGAATGTGACACACTAATTAACTGCCTGATATATTTTTTAGTGGAACTCAAATTATCGTAATCTTGTTATGAACCACTATTTGATTATTATTTCTTTGTGTTGTTGCAATTGAAGGGAGCTGTCAAAATTATCGAATAAATATAATAATTTGTGACACATAGTTGAATGAGAGCAACTTTTACCCAACACAGTACCAGGTGATGTAAACAGGTGAACATATGTAATTGTGTTTGAGAAATTTTCAAGAATATATGAATTATGCATGATTGCTGTCACATGCATGGCCATTTCTTTTTTTCAGCCAGACTGTAGAAGGTTTGAAGTTATTTCATGGCAATGGGTATTAAGATTACAGTCTTCTGTGATTTG